GGATTTTCCCTTCTCTTCTTTCTGCCTCTGCAGACTATTGTCACGTGGCGCGAGTTCAATGATTTATGCTCCGGGCCAGCTCCCTGGAAGTGTCCACCAAAGACCCAGAGATACATCCACATACTTAGGTCTTAAAGGTTCAGTTTCCTTGGGGCGACTAGTTGACCTATTCAAATGGAATGAAGATCTTTGATTGTTCTATCAGGATAATGATGTAAAAGGCAATGTTGACAAGGATCCTGCTGTGTGACAGGCATAATTGACCCTCATCTAGCAAGAAGTGGGGTCCGGGCCAGAGCTCACTGTCTGATCGCCCATGCTCATTCCTGGAGAACTACCGTTTTCTCATGCACTCATTGATTTACATTATTGTGTTGTGTACACAACTCCTGTTCTTTGTCAAGATGAGAGAATACGTTCACTGAAAATAAACATAAGCTGAGGTGAGTGCAGTGGAGAACCAGGCTAACGGGTCCTCTGGCCTCTGTCTGCCCTCCCCTGGACCTGACGGGGGAGCACTGGCTGACCAAACAGCTGTGTAATTACAGACTCGGGCTCAGGGAATGCGTTTCCATGTGGACATATCTGAAGAAGAATAGCTGAATGGCAAAGATATTCTGTCTTGTAAGCCTCTGTAGTAAGTAATGGACTCACAAATTAAAAATGCCTCCATTCATTGTTTTCGTATAACATCCAGTCACCACATCAAAAACTAATGATGTATTGTATGGTGACTAACATAACATAATAAACTAAAATGTAAAAAAAAATTAAAAATGCCTTGTAGGAATATTTGAGTCTGAATTGAGGGCAAATGACATGTTGATTGAGCATCAGAGATGCAACAATGATCAATTCAGGGAACAGAAAAATTAATTACTGTCCCAAGGACCATGCCTCTCGGCTCCCCCACACCCCACGGAGGACCACGCCCCCAGCTCTCTCCTCCCCTCCCCCCGCAGAGGACCACGCCCCCCAGCTCCCTCCTCCCCCCACCTAGCAGAGGACCACGCCCCCCAGCTCCTCCTGTCCCCACGGAAGACCACACCTCCCAGCTGCCCTGGGTAGGTAAGATGCCGCTCAAACTTGCCATCTTCCAATACTTGGCAGGATCATTGGGATACGTGAAGGCGCAGCTTCCACTGTGACACCAAATACTACCCTAGCAACTTCCTGAGTATTACGAGGTTTACGTGATGACGTCTTCCGTACACCACGTTAGCACAGTGATCCAGAGGGAGCTTGGCACCAGCTGAGCTCGTTTATTGGCGGGACTGTGTATCACTTGGTTTTTATTTCCTAACTTCAATAGCTAAAATAAGATTCAGTCACACTTAAAATATTAAGTGTGTTAAATGTAATTAAATATTACACTTAAAATGGAAAATATGTATTCATTCCGAGAGGTCCCACTAAACCATTATGACAAAAAATATTATGTAAAAATAAACTATGACATTGAGGTGAAGGGTGAATAGGATAGAAGAAAAATAAGAGCTCTCAGGAGAAAAGTTAGTAGTCGGTGTCTCTGTCTTAAAGACCAGGCGCACTTCACTGAAATTGAGTGGAGACATTGATGCTGAGGTTCTAGTTCCTAATTCTTTTTCTTTTCCCGGGCATAGTTGATAAACACTATATATCACAGGTGTACAGACCCATGTTTTGATACATGCATACATTATGGAATAATCAACACATCAAACTGATGAGCACACCCATCACCCTTCAGAGCTACCATTCTCTTTCCTTTTTTTCTTTGTCTTCCTCTTGTTCATTTATTGACTTACTTGGTAAGTAGTTCTTAAGGTTTAGGTGGCTCTTTATTTATAAAGAAATCAATTTCTGTGTTACCATATCGACAGGCCTCGATAGAACATCCGACTGAGATTTTGGGAGAAATCTCATTTCCTTCATTAGATTAAATTGAGACCACCCCATTGCAAAAAAAATGCTGCTGGCTGACTTCAATATACAAATAGAAAAGAGGTATGTTCTCAGGGGGAAAAAAAAATACATGATGTAGAGGGAAGAAGACGTGACATCTCAGGAAAATCGATCCAAAAATGGAAGAAGCCACATGTGTGGAAGGCAGTGTCTGCCCCATCACCAGCTGGGGGCAGGACAGGCTGCTGCTGTGATCTGGGGCGGGAAAGGCATGGGGAAGGGACACAGAAACTGATTTGAATTCTAAGATGTTTAAAGCGCTGTGGGTAGTTCCTCTAAATAAGGACCTTTTCAGGCAGGAAACCCAGCAACATTAGGCAGATGCCGGTGTAAGGAATTATGGTTCAGCAAAAGCAAGAAAATAAGGGGACCTTGAGACCAGTCTAGGGAGGATTCTCTGTGGGTCCTACATGCTTCCCCAACTGAGAACCAACGAGGCTCCTGCAGGCTCCCAGGCACCTCTCTTACACTGAAATAAGAATGTGGGATGACAAAATTGGGCAGGAAAGGGGACACAATCGGTGCTGACATGGATAAGAATACGCACTTCCTTCGAGGGATTAAGAAATAAAGTATGGCATCAGCACTGTGCCATCAGATTAAATAAATGTCATAAAAATATGAGCACAAACTTTCCAAGGAAGAAGGGATAAGATAAAAGTTGCTTCAACTTCTTAAAGAATCAAAATGGCTGGACAAGGCCTGGTGTGAGCTGGGCCCTGCACAAACAGAAAGAGGCAGAAAGACGGAAGAGGAACATTGCAGGTGACAAAACAGCTCAAGGAAGTTCCGCAAGAGAAAGGGTTGGGGGTGACCAGGCAGAGATCAAACCACTTTTGCAGGACAGAGCAGGGAGGTGGACGAGTCATGAGGGTCACCGTGAGAGCTAAGCCAGGCTGTGGGAGACCACAGGTGCATGGAGCAAAATAATGGGTTAAATCAAATGAAAGTCAGGCTTTAGGAAGCGAAATTTAAGGCTGCAGATAACAGGGAGTCCTGCAAAGCTTTAAAAACAAGGGATTTTCTTTATCAATGCTTCGCTTTAAGAAGAGTGTTGGGTCAGGTTGAAGGAAACCAGATGACGAATGCCCAGGGAGGAGGTCACCAGTGAGTCTCAGTAAGAGGTCTTAAGGACTTGAACTAGAACTGTAGCAAAAAGACCTGAAAAGAGTCCAGATTACATATAGTGAGAGAGTCTGTGTTGCTCCACATTCTCTCCCTCTTACAGATGCCAGCTCCCCATTCTAGAATATGTCAGAGCTACGAGGACGAGGCGTGCCTTCAAGGGTGGTGCTCTTCGACGTAGAAGTGAAACATTAAGAAGGAAATGGACTAACAAGTAAAATAATTTAGTTAAACAGCATGAAGTTTGAGAAGGTAAGTTTACCACGAAAACCACCACTTTCTGAAGTTGCGTCTTACACACGTCTGGGGGTTAAAGCCCATAGCAGACATTGCTGTTAGAAATCATGTTAGAGCCTAGAAGACAGCGTACTGGGATTGGACATCCACAAACACGACATCTCCATATTAAAGAATCTGTGTGTGAGAAGGATGATGTCCACTGCCCACCTCTAAGCTCACTATGTCACTAAAGACACCACCTTACATATCCTGTTTACATAAGTATTCCCTGAGACCTCCCATTTGAGAACCATGGCAGACAAGGATGTTGTAGAAAAATTCCTTCTACAAACACCTAGAAATGCTTTTACTATTTTTTTTTTAATTCGAAGGACCATGTAGTCCCTCCCTGGTGGCAGGAGTAGAGAGCCTGGGAAGGCAGGGAAGATGCTCTGACAGCAGGGGACCCTAGGACTCAGAAGGGACAGGATCAGAAGCTGGAGACAGCACGACACATGAGGGGGCCCCGGGCCCGGAGCACTGACCGCACACTGACCAGCACAGTCAAGTGCTGGTGAGAATGTGGAGCAGCAAGGGCCCCCACGCCCTCCTGGTGGGGGTGCAAGATGGTGAGAGGGCTTTGGAAGACAGTCTGGTGGTTTCCTACAAAACTGAACATCTTCTCACCCTACAACCTAGGCACCGTGCTCCTTGGTATTTCCCCAAAGCAGTTGAAAGCTCACGTCCACACAAAACCTACATATGGATGTTTACAGCAGCTTTATCCATATTTGCCAAAACGTGGAAGTGACCAAGGTGTCCTTCAGTTGGTGTTGGATAAATGAACTGTGGTCCATCCAGACAGTGGAGTAGTACTTAGAGCTAAGCAGAGATGAACCATCAAGCCGTGAGAAGATGTGGAGGAATCTTATATGCATATTACTTAGTGAAAACAGCCAAAATGAAAGGCTACATACTATATGGTTCCAATGGTATAACATTCTGGAAAAGTCAAAATTATGGAGAAAGTAAAAAAAAAAAATCAGTGATTGCCGCGGGTGGAGGATGAAGGGAGGGAGGAGCACACAGGATTTGGCGGGCAGTAAAACTACTCTGCGTGACATATAATGATGCATACATATCATCAGACATTTGTCCACACCCACAGGATGAACGACACCAAGAGTGACCCTGAGCAGACTGTGGGCTCTGGGTGATGACGACGTGTCCACGTAGGTTCGTCAGTCTTAACAAATGCACCATCTGGTGGGGATGCTGATCGTGCAGGAGCCTGTGCATCTGGTGGGGGCAGGGGGACATGAAAAGTATCTGTGCCTTCCTCTGAATTTTGCTATGAACCTAAAACTGCTCCAAAAAAATAAAGTCTTTTTTAAAAGGAAAACTAACTATACTGGAAATAAAATAAAATGAAATACAACAGATAAATAAAACAAAAATCAATCTATGCCAGTCGAAGGCAGTCTTGAGGAGGGCCTTGAAGGTGCCAAGGCCCCAACCCACCCACTGGAGGAGACCACCCCCCAAGCCCTGACCACCTGTTAAGCACCATGGCCCTGCCCACCTAGCGGAGCTGACCCCGCCCACTGCTAGAGCAGGGCCCGCCCACCTGTGGGGACAGGCCCCGCCCACCTGCTGAGAGTCCTGACAGAACACAGCTCCTTTCCTGCTAGAAGCCCCGGGGCTCAGCTCACCCGTGCTTGTCTGGTGCCTTGAGCTGCGTGTGCGAGAATCCTAGGAAGACAGTCCTCCGTCTGTCCTGTGCTGTTCCCACCGTCCTGACACACTGGCGCTCAACCAGCAGGTGCGTACGAAGCGCCATCTGCGGACCTTCAGGTCCACTCCAGCCCTTCTGAGTGGCTTCTGCAGGTGCCAGTGAGTCCTGGAAACGCACTCAAAGGTGGCCTGTTTCTTGGCCTCCCACCTGGCGGAGCCGGGAGGTCAGCTGTTCTTCACTATGGGATGACCTGGCTCTTCAAACGTTCTCAATAGTTCGATGAGGATAGGGAAGAACGCCAAACGGATGAACAGGCTGGCTGTTGTCACAGCCTCGTGCCAGAACTGAGGGTGGCCCGCGTGGCATCACTGAACAAGGAGAACAGCCCTGCGGGAGCTCGCGTCACACACGCGCTTCGCCAGCCCGGCCCGGGAGGATGCAGGCGGCCGCCCACCTGGGCCCCCGGCACCTAAGGCTCAGCCGCTGAGATCCGCCACCGACTCCTCATCAAAACAGAGGCAAATGCTGAGGTCCTAACACGTTAGCTATGGCAAGGACTTTCGGAAGCCTTCAGACTGCGGACCCTAACGACAAACCGAACAATTCCAACAACCTGTCGGAAGGGAATCTTTTTGGAATGTCCCCTATGCAAGACCCGGGGGAGGGGGTGTCCCTGCCTGCTGGGAGCAGGGCATGCTGGGCCCTCTGGCACCTGCATGGGGCTCAGCCTGAGAACCACTGGCCCCACTCCCGGAAGAGGAGACCAAGGCACAGAAACAGTCGGGACTGTGCAAGCTAGTCTGTCCCAGAGCCACGGTGAGAGTCACATTCTCTGTTCCCCCGCTGTACTCTGCAGTAACCTTTTCTTGATAGGAATACAGGAAGAGAAATGAAAGAAATGTCTGTGGTCCTCGGGGAAGAGGAGTAACATTGTGAATGAGATGATGATGCAGGAGACACAGAAAGAGGGATGACAGGAGGCGGGGGGAGTGGGAGGGGCTCCTGGTGCCACAGAGCTGAATCCCCTGCGGATTGTCAGTCTCCACTGTAATTTGTCATGTGCTCTTTTCACGTACCTCCTCCATATGTCCCCGTTGCTTAAAAAGTATCATCACAGTTCCACAGGTGAAATGATGTTTAAATGGATTCAATCCATTTTTGAGCCAGTGAAAAATGAGACCTTCCACGTCCTCTTTCTTCCCATTACTTAGCTGTACCACCACGGGGCAATTAAAATGTGGAAGAAATAGAAACCACACGGCTGACCATGTTTGTTCACCATAAAAGACAAGGTGACAGGACTCCCTGATGCCTCCCAAGTCTTCTCCTCCCACATACCCATTATGAAGACATCTTTAAAAGTCAAGATGCAGGGACGCCTGGGTGGCTCAGATGGTTAAGCGTCTGCCTTCAGCTCAGGTCATGATCCCAGGGTCCTAGGATCGAGGCCCGCATCAGGCTCCCTGCTCAGCGGGGAGCCTTCTTCTCCCTCTGCCTCTCTCTCTCTCTCTGACTCTCATGAATAAATAATAAAACATTTTTAAAAAATAAAAAAATAAAAAGATGCAGAACAACCACTGAGAAAATACCCAAGGACACCCAAGGTCACCTGGGGGAGCACAGTTCCCTGAAGATCCAGAAACTCTTCTGATTGACCACTTCTGTCCCCGACTGATGGTTCTGCAGGATCAGACGCTTAATGTGAAAAATTTCAATGCTGTGTAATTTACTGCTTTGACAAATGAGCGAGCCAGCTGCGTTTGACACGCCTCTTTGAAACATGGAATATTTAAAATTCATACCCAAACTTAATGTATAGATAGATCACATATGTTGATGACTTCACCGATGTAACAAGAGCCTTGTAATATCTCACTAGGTGTGTTTTATTCCTTCTCATGTGTATCATGTGAAGATTAAGAGGCTATATTATTGCCTTCAAAATGACCTGCTATTTCCTGGAAACAGTAATTTGCCGGACCTGTCCTTGTCACTGGGTAAGTGTAATGCCTTTAATAATCTTCCATTCACTAAGTGATGTGTTTGCATCAAAGAGATGGATCTGGGCCCGAGGCAGCAGTCCGTGCCTGTTCTCCGAGCGCCATCTAGAGGTTTCACGGGGTCCGGAACCCGGGGCAGCTGGCTGGGAGGGCCGCTGGTTGGGAGGACCGCTGGCTCAGAGGACCGCTCTCTGTGTTCCTTTAACTCAGCACTCAGAAGTGTTTGTAAGGCTGGGAAGGGATGCCTCCAAGGGTATGATTATGGTGCCACTTCCCTCCGAAGGGGAACCGACAGCTGCTCAGCTGAGGGCTCGCCTGAGTCTGGGGCCGGTCTGCAGTGGGAACAGGACCATGAAGGCTCCCCAGTACACCACCAGCATCCTTTGAGCCTAAACCTCGAAGCCACGGAGAAGCTGGCCTTGGAAAGGCTTTAACACAGAGTTCTTTCTCTAACAAGCAAGTGCACCAAGGGTGACTGAGGGAAGCCAATGCTTCCAGAGGAGGGCGACGGGCAACCATTTGCCCATCCCTGCAGGCTCCAAAGTGCTGGGGCCGCCCCCGACCACAAGCCACAGGCCAGCTTGCACTGCAGCTGCACCCGGGAGACCAACGCGGGCACCGTCCACACTGCCCAAGAGGTGGAGGCCCGCCAGGCTCAGATTCACAGTTACATCGTGCCATGTGACTCTGTGAGTGGGGTGCACGCCATGTCAGGTACAAAATGCGGGCTGAGGGTACCATACTTCACACCAGAACCACACCTGCTACCTGCAGTTTCGTTTGAACAGACATGATGGAGAGACAGGCTTGACTGATCTGTTATTTCAGTGATGACCACTCATCTATCCAAAACTCAGTCTTCTGCTGCTAGAGCAACAAAACCATAATTTTGAAAGAAATGGGGTACAATCCCATCTTTCCAAGAAGGCTTATTTTTTTTTAAAGTGAATGTTTACAGAGTAAATGGAAGGACAAACAAACAAAAAAAAAGGATCCCTAAGTCTTCATACAGGTGGTCTGTGAAGGATAGGAAGAGGGGCCTTGGCTCCAGACGAAATCTCCCTTGAAGGAAAACAATAAAGAATGGCCTAAAATTTTAAAAGAAATCACAGAAAAGATGGTGGGAAAAAAGCAACAAAGTGTGGATGAGGAAAAAGATGGAAAAATCAAGATAAAAGATAATCTAAAATATTAAATATTAGGCATTGCTACCAGTAATGCTGGGTATCAACACACACTTACATAGCACCTGCTGTATACCAGGCACTTCACCTGCGCTCCTCATATGGCCACGCATCCTCACAAATCTCCCTGTGTAGCCCTGGGGATGGGCGCCATTGTCATCCCCCAGTGACAGCTGAGGAAGGAGACACCAAGAGGTGAAGGTTTGTCCCCGGCTTGCGGGGCGTCCACACTGGGCATTTGGACCTCATGGCTCAGGGGTCTGGGCCCTTGCAGGCCTGCCAACGGGCTGGGAGACGGAACAGGGACAAGGTGAATCCCAGGGGTGGGGGCAGGGAAACAGGAACAAGAAGCGGGCTCCTTATGTCCTTCGGAGCAAACTAGACCCCTGTCAGCCGGGGCTCGGCTTGGAGGACGTCCGGGCAGGCGGGTCACTGGGGCGGGGCGGGTTTGCCACCCGGAGCTCAGGGCCGCTTCCATTCCTCTCCTCACCTCTTGAATGGGAAGGAGAAGGAATGCCTGCCACATCCTGCAAAAGCCTTCCCTTCTTTCCACGTCTTCTTGAGGAAAAGACGGGAGAGCCACGTTGGTCTGACCAGTCACAGTTGCCCCATTTTGTTAAGAACCGAGCACGGAGGCATCCACCTGGCGCTCGTCGGGAGGTGAGAGACTGCACATGCACCCCTGACCTTGGTTAGAAGTCCCTCCTCTAGAGACTGAGCATCTCTCCAGCGCTAACCCAGAACCCCAGGATGGGAGGAAAGGCTTTCTGGGCAGCACACGGGTGACAGACATTTCCCCCATCCACAAACGCACAAACCTACCTTCATTTAGTTAACAAATAGTCTGAATCAATTTAAAAAAAAAAAAAAACCTTTATGACAAATATCCACCCGCTAATAAAACACTCAGTACCTTTTGCCGTGGATACGCATCTGTTCATTTGCTTAATGCCATTGCTACTGTGCATGTACTCTTCATGAAATGTAATTTCTAAATCCATTTACGGTTTTTAATTTTCTAAGCCATTAACGTTCACATGTGGATTCCCACTGCACTCCTGGGTTAAAATGTTTCATAGGAGAAAAAAATACATGTTTTGCAGGGAGCAGTACATTTGTCACCCCCCTGAATGAGGAACATGTATTAAACCCGAGCTCTACCTGTGGCATCTGTCACACGCTCGGCCATCGACGCAGATCCCCAGGATGGGTCTCCTTCTCTGCAAACAGTGATGTAGCTCTGAGGCCAAGTGAGAGACACGTCTCGCTGTCACGTCTGTTGACTATAGCGTGTGTCCCTTTGGGAGCTGTGAGTTCCTTGCATGGGGCCCACGTTCCCGTTTCCCTGCTGTGCGTCCTGGTGATCAGGACTCATTTGACGTGAGGTGAGCTGTAGTAAATACTACAAAATAAGCGGTGCCTCCCTGTTCCCGGGTCTTGGCCCCACAGAAGTTTTAGCTCTGCCAACATGCCCCTCTGACGCTCAAAAGGAAAACAAAACAGACAGACAGAAAACATCACTCCCAGAAAGGGGTCTCCAGCTCACTTTCTGACCTCACACAACAATTTCATTCTGGCCAAGCCTGAGAGGAGAGAGGAGGAAATCTGTGAATTATATCTTAAAAATAGGATATGGACAATCTTAAAATCTTATTTTTAGAAGATGCAAAATCTTTACGTTTCTCACATGAGTTGACCAGGTTTACAAATACTTCCCCCCCCAGCTTTACTGAGATACAATTAACACATAACAATGTGTAAGATGTGCAAGGCACAGATCTAACACGCTTACATATTGCAAAATGATCACCACCGTGGCGTCACATCGCATAACTACTATTTCTGTTTTGTGGTGAGAACATTTAAGGTCTACTCTCTAGGCAACTTTCAAGTATATTGAGCGGTATTGTTAACTGTAGTC